GGGGGGGGGGGGGGTGGGGGGGGGGGGGGGGGGGTGGGGGGGGGGTGTGCGTGGGTGGGTGTGGGTGTGGGTGTGGGTGTGGGTGTGGGTGTGGGTGTGGGTGCGCGTGTGTGTATGGATGTGATTGTAATTTTTGTCTCATTCGCGCCCACAGCCACAGTCACAGCCACACCCTCACTCTCACCCACCCACACCTTCAGTAGTTGATTTCGGCAGATTTTCAAGATAACTACAGTCGGCACCAAGATAGACTCGAACACAAAGATTTTTTATACCGAAATCCTTATTGTCCAATACGGTGCGTAGTTCAGAGAAAGATGATGAGGCAATACGATAAATATTGGGAAACTGAATATCAACTTGTTCGCATGAACGTAGCTTTTCTCCCGAGTATACTTCAAGCCATCGCTTGCTTAAGTCTTCAGGTCTTGGTCAATCAAAATCATCTTTCACATTTGTCATATCAAGCACTGTGTATGACACATAATCGAGTGAAGCAGTAAATGATATTATAGCCGATGCATCTCGTGGATTTAATGATGTTTTACCAATCTTGTCAATCAAGTAGCTCTGCATTTCATTGTTTTTGACACCAATAAAGCCAGTGCCTAGCTTCGAAAAGTATTCGATGAGTCCAATCTCAATTTTAGGTGGCGGATATTGCTCCTCGATACGCTCACGAATCGATCGTGTCAGCTCCAAGTCCGTTTTATCTAATGATGGCAAATGGGGAATGTATACTATGGCTTCAGATTCCGAAGGCATCGAGACCACGATAGATCCAGAATGTTCTAGAACGATAGTGGCAGTGTAAGTTATCGAAACAAGACATAGAAAAAAAAACCATCTGAATTCGCATGTTTCATCTTGAAAGCTGGTGGTGAACAATTCGAATGGATACGATTTTTTAATATTTCAATTTGTTCTTCCATTTGTTTTTTTATTATAGATTGCTTTCCATAGATTACGAATAGAACGAATTTGTTGTTGATTTGGTTTGAAATCATAAACACTTTGTACTAGACAATGATCTGTTGAGTTTAATTTTAACATATTTTTATTATATTCAAATTGTTGTTTTAATTTATGTTGACCTTTACGTACAACAGCTGTAATCATTGCTGACATTGTTGTAAAATTAAATGGAGGATTCATTTCTGACATACATTGAGGTAATGGTTGATTACCAAAATGTTGTAATGCTTGCGATGCTGCTTGAAGTTGTCGTTGAAAAGTTTTTAGACGTTGTACGATTAATGGTTTTCATCGACCATAAGTATGATACATACTAGTCATAGCAGCCCATTTTTTAGATACACGTCCTGACCAAATATTATCTTTCAGACCAATATCATAATAATACTTCCATTGGCTTTCTTGTAACTGTACATAGAATAGACGATGAATTAAATAAGCATATTGAGGAATATAATTAATTTTTTCACTTGTATTTAATCGTTTAACAATTTTATCAGCACCTCCTAATGAACTAATTAACATTTGTGTAAATATACGATTTTTTACTTTTAAATAATCAGGCATATAAGAATCGTCATTATTATGATTAATTTGTTTTTTGGATTTCGAATTTTTCTTGTTTGATGTTCCATTTGTTGTTACTTGTTCAATTTGATCAACTTGATTATTTATCGTCTTTTGTTTCTTCGGTGATGGTTGTGAAAGAGATAATTGACTTAAAGATTTATCAATTGTATTCGATGGTGCTTTTGTTGATATTTCATTTCTTTCACGTTTAATTGATTCATTTACTGGACTATCATGATGTTTATCTTTATGCTGTGTCGATTGAGAAACCTATAGCCAGAGATAAATATTTTGATATTATAGTTTATAAGAAAAGTAGACATTACTCTATCAACTGGTATATGGACTTGTATTTCATCATTTGTATCCTCTTTTATTTGTTTCTGGTTTTGCTGAAGAGTTGCGTTTGACTGAACTAGTTCTGTATGTATTTCTGGATCTAAACTTTTTCGACGAAGTTGTCGACGTCGACGTTGTCATTTTTGATCACCGCGGCATTTTTTCTTCTTTTTCTCTTTATCATCTTCTTGTGGTTGTTGTTGTTGTCCAGTCAAGACTTGTGTTGGTGAAAGAAATTCGTACCAACTAGCTTGAGCATCTTGACTTGAAGTTTTCAAAGTTAATGCCGTCGTTGCTGCTGTTGGAATAGTTTCAGTTATATTCATTGCTCTCGAGAGCTTAATATCTAAAAGGAAAATAGAAGTCATTCAATCTTCAGAAATCAGAAGTGAACAATAAATGAATGGGAAGTTTTTATTAAGCTTCACAAAAAAAATTAACTCTATAATGAATAACAAAAGAAACAATAAAAACTTTAAGTTTTATCACGAAATAAAATCATTTTGTATTTGATAGATATTTTGGTTGATGAATAACTTCAATGTTCATATTATTGAATTGTGGTTCATTTTTCAAATAATCTTTTCATAGGCTTTTGATATCTTGTTGAAAATTGTACAGTTCTTCGTCATTTACATCCGATGTAATGTAACATATTTGTTCATCTTGTTCTTTTTGTCGTTGTTTTATTTTCATTTCTTGACGTTGTTGATCATACTCGATAATTTCTTGACGCATTTTATCATAGGTATTTTGGTTGAAATCCAATCTTCAATTGGAAACATGAAAGTCTTGGAAGAATTGTTCAACATGTTCTCTAATAAATTCGATTGAATAACCATTCTGTACAAATATCACTTGAATATCACGACGTTCATTGTGAAAATGAGATTCTTTCGAGCAAAGTAATGCAGCACGAATACGACATGCTTGAATTAATGTTGAATACATTACAGGTGGATGATCTGATATAAAAGATAATGCACGTGGTTCAATATCTTGATCATGATTAATTGTAGTTCGAAGTTGACCATTAATTTGACTTATTTGAGCATCAAGATAATTGACTTTTTTACCAATTGAAGTTGTTATAGATAAATTAGGATATTTTTGATGGATCATTCTCTTAAGAAGTACTTGAAGTTCTCGTTTTCATTTATTCTTAGTTAAAAACATTTTACCTAAACATCGACCATTCAGTTTGATTAACTAATATTTTAACTAAATCTTCTTGCCAATAGAACATATAGATGTTGGCTAACAGATAATTCAGTGGTTGACCAGAACCACAGCCTTTAATTTGTCGATAAATTTTGTTATTGAAAATAAAATATTGATTTTATAGAGCAAAACGAATTAATTCAATAATAGTATCGATAGTTAAACCTTGAATTTGTCCATCCGGTACGTAATCATGGAAAAAACGTTGTAATGCTTCCATCAATCACTCATAAGGCAAAGTTGCACATAAATCATTGACATGTAAAATAGCAAATAATGCATTTGATTGTAAACGACGTTGTTTAACATAGTTTTCCAGCGCATGCACAGCGTTACTTCCTTTGAAAAAGTTATTGAACGAGCCACTTGATCATAGATGGGTTGAAGAAGACGGTTCATATAAGGCGATACACCGATTGTTGGTCCCAAGCAACAGACCACAACAGGTTGAAATGGAATATTTTTTTATATACATAGACACACATATTTTCAAAAGAACACAATAAAAATAAAGTAAACAATGCTTACTTTATGTGCATCCGGTAAAAAAGAGATAATTCATTTGAACCATAGATCGCTGTACGTTCATTTGCTAACCTTGTATACTAGTGAGACATTGACGTTCAAATAAATCATTTTATAATGAAGTAACTTGTTCGAGGCTCTTGTTTAAATGCTGTTGGACATAATTTGAATTTGTCTCATTAATTTCTTGAATTAATGAATAAGCATCTGTTTGTATCATATGCTTAGACACTTTTTCATCCACTTCATATTTGTCACATCAGTTAATTGCATTACTATTGAACATGTCCAGCAATACACCATCATTATTCTTTACTTTTCTCTGAAAATATTGACTATCTATAATTTGTTGATTAACTTGAATACGTTCCGGTTGTCCTTCATATAAGAATAAATATGTTAAATTAACATCACATTCACCAATCTATTGACTTAGTGGTTCATATTCATCTGATGAACTTGTCGCATCTTTATCATTATATTTTTCACGAATAAGTCGACGAAATTTTTTGATTAAATCCATCACATCGTTTGCCATATTTTAAATAAGTGTTATAAAGTTGTTGTCGTGTGTATATGGTAGAATATTACTATCTGAAATTAAAGAGAAAGTCAACATAAGATTTATCACATTTCTTTAAATTTTTATTTAAAAGTCATTCAATATATGACAATACACTAAGATTGGCGTGAACATTGTATAATCAAACAGTGTGTTCATTGATTTGTGAAGTTATATATGAAAGATATGCAACTTATTTTTTATAGAATCCCTATAAATTTTCTTTCTAGATCGCACATGACTAAGCATCCTATCGGCTTATTCGCATATAGCACATTCTACTTTTTACAGTTATTCATCTTTAATTTTTTTTTACTTTGTCATTAACTACGGTACGATTTGTGAACATGACAGGAAAGCATATGTTTAAGGGTACTCCCACCTTTCTGGGGGTTTCTCGAGAACGGCTCATCAGAAAATGTAGAAAGTTTCAGAGAAGATAGATCTTAAGAAGCAGAGCAAAATTTGTCATAGACTCAAAGTTTCTAGATGCTGTCTTCTATGAGATATTGAGGTCACAATGGGTCAAAATGACCCAACTTTTCGCCCTCCTTTCTGTGAGATACTGCGTTCAATCGAGCTGAAAATGTTTTTTCAGATACTAGACACTATTCGGGGTGGGTATTTTTTTTGGTTTCCTTATATTTTTTGTCTTTCGAATAAAAAAGCCGAAATACCGAAGACACCCTTCAAAAAGCTTGTCTTTTTACTATCAAAAAATGCTGTAAAAGCTGCCAAGAATTACCAGAGCAATATTTTTTGGAATAAAAAAATACCCACGCCAAATAGTATCTATAATATGTGGGGAAAGTTTCAGCTCGATACCTCTTACCATGCCGGAGGAATGAGGACGAAACAGTACTTTTTTTGCGGAAAACTTAATTATGAGAAAAACCTGACAGAATGAAAAAATTTGCTGTTTTTACATAGAAAACGTAAAATCTTTTTTGATTTTTTTTTAACTTTAAAGCTATATTTAACTTCTCAAAATGTGTCCACCGGATAGAGGACGCTCCAAAGTATATTTATCAATGAAAAACAAAAAATCGAAAAAATTTTGATTTTCACTTTCGGAAAGGTGGGGTGTGGGTCTAGCTACCATTATCGCGATTTCATCTCTGCTAAGAGACTCATCAGATGGCTTTGACTTTGTATCTGTTCAAGAGTAATTTGTAGGTTTGAAACTTTTTCGTGTGGTTATCTATTGCGTGATATCGATTGCAATGGTATATTTCGTAAGCAGCACTTATGATATTTTCGGTTGATATGACGTCGCGGATCGTGTAGTTCGTTTTAGAGTATGTATTCTTCGATGGACGAAAGTTGGTGGTGCTGCTTTTCGCACGGTAGTCTCTGTTGCTTGAATGACTTTTTCCTTTGATAATATTCTGTATTGATGTGCTGTTGAAAATAGGTCCGTTATATCGTGTTTGCTCGAATCGATAGGCTCAGTTGGAGGAGTAGTTAATATCGATTTTTAAAAAAAAAAAGGCATTTCACGGAAATGCTTATAACTTTTGAAGGAAATGTGATAGAGACCTGCGGTTTTCGCCATTACATAGGCCTTTGCACGGGACGTGATGCTATGGTGTAATCAAAAATTTCATTGAGATTCATGATAATAGGTTTTTGTATGTAAATTTGACAAGGCTGTCATCTCCAGAGAGCATGATAAGCTTTAACTTAAAAATAGTAAAAGTGATAGCCCGAAACGAGATCTACAATTCTACGCAAGGCGCAGGTCTCTACCATGTACAGTTCAAAAGTTCTGAGCCTTCTCCTGAAAAGTGCTCACTCCCATTTCGTGCACGAAAAAAAAGGCTAAAAACACTTGATATATACATTGTTAGCAGGACTGTACCGGAATGCGGAAGTGAGAGAGTAGAAAGAATATTTTTTTAGAATATAAAAAGGTATATGAACACCTCTCCGATGTAAGCAGTGCTGAATTTTGTTTTTATCCTGTAAATTTTTCAATCAAAAGGCGATTTTTGACGAGAAAAATAGAAAAAAATCTATGAAATTGAGAGAGTTCGTAGATTCTTGCTATTCACGAGCGTTGTTTCCAAGAATATTAGATGCTCTGAGCATTGTGATGTTGTGCTTTTAGCGTCTGAAAATTATTTTCAGGTGAATCTCTTCGAATATACCACTATAAGGCGAATATTTCACATATGACTTTTTCTTTGAAGCTCAAGCTAGCGATGTATTCATAGTTACTTTATATTTTCCTTTGCATTTGTCGACAACCTCATGATACTAGCTTATATTCTTCAGCAAACTTCTGTGTGCGAGCTTTCTATTTTCATATACGAAGTCACTTTTAGAAAAATATGAAACATTGTATGAAAACATGGTTCTTTTTCGTGATTTGTCATTATAATAACAAGTAAAATAACAAATATTATTCCTCACCGTTATTCTCTTCTTCAGTTACAGTTTCTTCTACTAAGTTCGGTTCAATTTCTACTTCAAGAAAAGAATCCGCATCTTTAAAAGTCTGCTCAACCTTTTTCACATGTTCGAAATAACTCGTAGCCAATTCGGCATGAAGAGCGCCCATAAAGTTCAAGATCAAGTTATAAACATCGTTTTCTTTGAATGTGACATTGTTGTCACGAACGTATTGTTTTAAATTATTCCAGGATAGTTCAGTAGGATTAAGACAACAATGGCGATGAGGTAATCGGACAATTTGTACGTTAAATCGTGCTGCAGCTTGATCAGTCTTGTAAAAATAACAAGATGAACATTATTTAATGGTAATGCCACCTAGAAAGTGAGTAAAGATCTTACTATATATTCTTTTGATGGCGCATTGGCCAAAGCCAGTTCTAACAGTTCAGCTTTCACAAAACGAGTATCAAATGAGACATGATGATCACTCAACCATTCTTGAATTTGTTGTTTACGCCACGATCGTTTCGGTACTATAGATTCTGGTGTAAGAACATTATGCCATGATGCATTATCTAGCACAATTGCAATTTTAGCTTCATTTCCTACAGAAATAGACAGTAGGATTCAAGATGGTGAACGATTGTCTGAGTTTTTACCACTCACCATGAAGTATACGTAATTTCATAGAAGTATCTGTTATCCAATTGACAAACCTATCATTATCCATGTTGTGCTCTTCTGAGTATACAAAAATATCAACAGAATCGAGATGATAGCCTTGCGGACTAAGTAATGCAGATGTAGCGAACCTTTTTCCTATGCACAGTGAAGAATTATCAATGGAAAAATCCTTTGATTAAATATATTTAACTCACCTTTGCCATCACTTTGGCGAAGCCGTCCTTTTCCTTCTGTTAGCGTCAATAGAGGTCACTCTATTACCGCTAACTTCCAAATTGTGTTCTATTGGATTTTCCTCCATTTTCTAAGTGATCAGTATATATTTTTCTCTGGACTTTTCCAGTGATTATCCTTCTTGTTGTTTTTCTCTTCCCTTATCTTTTTCCCCTTTCATATTGTTCTTCATTATTATATTATTATTACTATATGTTTATTGTTATATTCATATTAATAAATCCATATATATATTCTCAACACACTCATCTCATTATTAACATAACCAAAGTCAGTATGCTTATTTACCTTATTTACGTATGAACTCTCGTTCCCGTTGCAGACCGGGAATAAATATACTGATCATCTAGCCAAAACCAATAGTGTGAGGCTAGACTCATAATTTCCCCAAAAGAGAGTCTTACACCTTCATATACCCAAATACTTCTTCTAACTTCTCCTAAATTGATCCATGATTCATCATGGAAATAAACTTGAGCATGAGAATCTCTTAATTGCT